GGATGGGATAAAGAGGGATTTTTGTAGAACGCTGACGTGTCCTCAACCAGAACTGTCACTGATCCTGGCTATCATTAACTGACGGCCAGTGTTGTGGTGGCCATAAAGCTACTTTAAATTGCACTTGGGATTGACCATGCTCAGCAGGCAGCAATATGAAAAGGTGTACAAAGTGAATTTTGCAGAGCTCAGTTCTGTCTGTGCGTCACATCTGAACTGCACTCCTGTGTTCGGTAATTTCGGGTGAGGAGCTGACGTTTCTCTTTGACACTTGCCCTCTTTACGCTCCAGCAGAGATGCTGTCCGGCTTTAGCACAGTCACGCTGCCAGAGATGGAAAAGTGGTTTCTTCTGAATCAAGAGAGGTTATATTCTTCATGCCCAAGACTAAGAACAACTGTCTAGAACAAGAAGATAACTTTCAGCAAAGAAATTTTCTTTATTTTTTTTTTTTTAACTTAAGCTCACATGATTTACACTGCTGTACCTGAATGGGAGAACTGCAGAGCTGATAGCAAATAATGCTCCCATTGTGCAGCTCTCTAAACTCCTGCAATCTTGCTTTGGCAGAGCTGTCTGCTTTGGAGGATTGTAACTCCTCCATTTTAGCAATCTGAAGCTCAGTTCAGATCAGAAAATTTCAATAATGTTTTGCCACCATCGTATTTTTCAGATCCATAACCTCAGTGTGTTTGACACTCAGAAAGCCATTGGTGCTATGGAGAGTGAATCCAGTACAAAAATACATGACCTGAAAAACCATTCAGACCATTAACATCAATTGTTCTCTCCTTTTTGTTATCAAATGCTAATTTTGTAATTACAGTGTGTTCTGCCCGTTGCATGCAGGAAATGCAGATTCTTTCCTCATTCTTATCCATTGCTCCCACTTTGCAATGATAAAACAGTTCTTTGAATGATTTCAGGGTTTATTCCACAATTTAATGTGGGATTTCAAATAATCCAACAGATGGCATTATCATCATTTTTCTTTTCCCACAGAATGAAAATGAACAAACACTTGACATTTCCAATATGTCTTCATCTAACGCGAGAATTTTTAGAAGCCACGAGAGAGTGTTATCTGCCTCGCCTTAGATGGGCAGAATTGTTAAATGTGTCCTCACTTTCTCCTCTCCTACACCAGCAACATGACTGCGTGGAAAATAGATGTATAACCACATAATCAACATGCTGGTGTTTGGTACCGTGAGCTCTGTCTATAGCCAAGCAGGAACATGCAATGCTGGAGCTATTTCAGTGTGAGAGTACAGAATTTTTGTTAGAGAAATTAGCCAGAACTGCTGAAGTACTTAGAAATCAGCTCACATTTACAAATGAACAGCAGATGCTTCGTTTGGCAAAAGATTTCTGCAGTGGGTAATTTGCCATTCATCAGGGATTGCCTCTCAAATCCGTGATCCAAGCTAGGGTGCAGATGACATAGAAGGATAAATTTAGGCATGGCTGAAAACAATTACTTTGATTAAGCCTCCAGCCAATGAGAGGAAGATTCTTCTTATTCCTCCCCTTCCTCCTCACTTACCTCCTCCAGTAAAGGAGGAGGAGACTGTGTGAGTATAACTTATCTTCATTTTACATGCAGTGGATGTTTTGGTTCAGCTCTTGCTGTTGCAGAGTCTGCTCAGCGTAGTAGAGAGTGTTTTTTCATCGGATATGATACCTTGCTTCCGTGTTAGCCTGGGTTTAGTTAGTGTTGGAAAAGGTGCTGGCAGGGAAATATCAAAGTTTTGTTTACCTGCAAAAGAGAGGCTGCATCTTTAAAATAAATTGGCTCCTCCTGACCTGTCCTTCCACTGGGAGAAACCCTCAGGCTGGGTGAGCTGATTCTGCTGGGAAATACTCACTACTTTCTCGGGTCTCTGTGTGAACTGAACTTTCCAAATGTGTTACGTGGTGTGGTTCCCAAACAGCAGCTGATAGCAACTGCTCTCACTTGCTGTCAGCCTTGTACCTGCTGGAAACCAGCAGCAAAGTTTCACCTGGCCCTCTTGGCTCCTGAGCTGCTACTCAGTTGTTCCAGCCTCTAACAGTGTTGGTGGTTTTTCCCAGTTTTAGAGCAAGAGAGCTATTTGTCCGATCTGGTATGCTGGTGTAGTAAAAGCGATGCCAACTAGTCTTTTACAAAAACATCAACAAAAGCATCATTTAACCAATTAGAGCTATTTTATTAGAAACAAAATGACGTTAGTCTTGGATGACAAACTTGTATCCACTAAGCTTCAGCTTGCTGTGATCATAAACAGCTCTGTTGTTTTAAAAAACAGTAATATGGAGGTAAAATGCCACTTTTAAATTTATCTGTATGGATGCCTTCACGTTACGGGTGATTTTTATGAGTAGTTTCCTTTGGGGCTGTGCTTCTGTGTGTGTAACTTCAGCACTGCTGTAGCTGAAAGCTAGAATATATGGGTATCCTGAAGTTGTCTTGCAATTCCTTTTTCCTCATTTCTTCTTTGATGTGGATTTGGGATGAGGTTATTCCTTGGCTGCTTAGTGTGGTTACTGCTTCTACTTGCACTGTTGTTATGTTGGAGTGGAGAAAGATGGCCAGAGCTAGGGGTGGTTGGAAAATGGAGCTGAAAGGTTTTAAGTTTGCAATATTGTAAACTATAATTGCAAAATAAAATACCAAGCACTTTGGAAATAGGAAATTTTATCTTATTTACTCTGTGGTAATTGTTGGCACTTGACTACAATCAGCTGCAAGCCTGTCTGTGATTGACAGCACAATTCTAGCCAGAGCAACCAAAAATAGCCCAGCATGTGAGTAATTTTAGTCTTTTTATAATCTGATACTGTCACAAATAAAAGCCAGTGTAACATGCGGGCACAGTGAACTCTCTTCATAGGTAGACGAGGGTAAATTGGGCAACGCTGTGGGAAGGCATACGAAGAAAGCACTGAATGTATCTTTCTTCAGTAACTCTTGCCCAGAATTAAATAGGTTTAGCTCCTTTTTTTTGTTCATTAGCCTTAATATTTCTGAAATTAGTGAAGTTCTATGCCTAGATTCTTGTTGGGTTAAGGAGGCTGGCAGTGGGAGGAGAGGGAAGGACCAACATTGATCAAAACCTCACTCATTCTGGGGAAAAAACCTGAATAAGTAGAATTCTTAGCTGATCTTGGTCAGAAAACCTAGTGAACCTTCCCCTGCTGCTGGGCCAAGCATGCTTGGAATAGTTGGAAATTTTTCCTGCTGAAGCATTAGTAGATACTGTTTTAGTCTTTAGCTCTTGAGTTACCACCTATCGTGATCCCCACACCCTTGTAGAGAAAGGAAGAAAGAATCATTTCTTCAAAACAGGCTATAGGAGAAGGTTGTCTTTTCCTGAAAGTCTCCAAGTTTCTTTTAAGGCCTTTTCCTTGGAAAATTACAATGGTAGGGTCAAAGCCTTGATGAATTCCATTAGCTCCTCAGCAGTGTTAGTAATGCAGATCTGCAGCATCAGAAACTTTTGTGTGACTGTTTTTCCTTTACTACTAATTGCAGTTTTAACTTGGTCCTCAGAGGCAGCGCTGTGCCTGTGGCAGATATTTCAGCACCAAAACACTAGATGACACAGTAGATCTGCTTGTGGCTTTTTATTAGTTTATTTTTTTGAAAACTGTTCTAAGGAATTACCTGTTTTGAGGACAGGCGCAGAAGTCAAGCTACATTAACTTGTCAAACGGATTAGTCATTAAACACCTTTGTGGACATTTTAATTCAGAATTAAAGTGGCTTTAATTGGATTTAGCTTACTTTGCTTCCCAAGTAAATTCAGGTAAATCAAATTAAGGTTAATTCAGTGTAAAGGCATGGGCAGACATCCTCATTACGGGCTACATGGAGCAACTGAAAACGTAGCTGCTTAGCTGCTCCTCAGCACCCTCCTGCTCCCGTTGTGCTCCTGCGGTGTTCCTCAGCTCACGGAAAGGGGTGCTTGCTAGTCTCTACTACGGTAGGTTATTTTGGATTAATTCTCACCTTAATTAGCCATTTAGTCTGTTGGCTGATTGCATTGACGTGTTCAGGAAGTGCAGTTGAGTCACACTTTGCGGACTCTGCGGTGGGGAGCATAGCCCTCAGCTGATGCTGTAACGAGTAGCTTGGAAAAGTTAACCCCATAAATAGCTCCAGCTGTTTTCAAAAAATAGATGTGTGTCCACGCCTGTCGAACAGATGCACTCAGGACGCCTTGGGGGTGCCCTGAGGATCCTTATTAAAGGCTCATAACTGCTGAAGAGCAATACTCTTGTGTATACTGGAGAATCTGCCATTTTAGGGACTAGCTTCTTAATTTACAAAAGAAATGCCGGGGCAGCAAATTGAATATAGAGAGGAATAGCAAGCCAGCTAATAATTACAGCTGCAGCTACCACATCTTTGGAAGAACAAGAGATCCCATAAACTATAACCCCACGGTTGAAGCTTGGGGTTTTTTCTCAAAGAACAGGTCTCTTAAAGGAGAGGGAATTTGCATCCTAAATAACCAAGTGTCAATACTAAAGTAAAGAAAGGAGATGAGTTCACTTAAATGTAACATCATCTATGAAATGAGGTATGTTAGATGAACCAGAAAATAACTAAAGTTTTGACACTTGTATCAGGGTTGTTTTGAAGGCATTTCACTGATTAAAAAAAAAAAAAAAACACACAAAAAAACTGAAAACATAAAACCAAAACACTGAATCTTAAAGAATACAGAATAAATTAAATCATACTATTTCCAGCTGAGACCATGTAATCTTCCATTCACCAAGCAGTGTTTGACTAAATGAGGACCCAGGTGACAGCTCTCCAAGAAAAACTGAAGTGCTCAAGAAGGTGTCACTGATATAATGACCTCGCTTTTATGGCTCATGCTTCCTCTTTGATAAATGACTGCTAGATATTAATTGCCCTTCCTGGGATGGCAATGAGTGTAATTCATTCATGGTGATGAATACGGTTCCAGTAATCCAAATGACTTCCATTTTCATACATTTTTTTGACAGGAAGCGTCTTATCTGCCAGATATTGACACATTGCCTAGACCACACAGTATGAAAAATGAGGCGCTGCTTATGACTGTTTGGCTGTCAAGTTGTGGCCAAGTAGCTACAGATGAGCATGGTGGGCAGGTGCCTGACGTGGTGCTGAGAGCAGCCAACATCTACCAGGCCCTTGTGACGTGGCTTCTCTCTCTGGTGAGTACACGCAGTGACAGCGCACAAAAAGTTCTGCATGAGTAAGGCTATGTTTTGCCCTCTGGTGAATATATAATCATTCTTGATATCTCCTCCTTCCAACAGCTACAAAAAAACTTCCAAAAAACAGTGGCTGAGCAAAGGGGAAAGGATGTTCTAAGTTACCTCAAAGTCAGTAAATAAAAGCCATGCTGAAGTCAGTGGGAGCTGGATTGTGCCTGTAGTTTATGAAGAACAGGGCACAGACAGTAAAAAAATTGTTGAGCCTGGCTCTCAGTAGTCAAAAGTGACTACTGGAACTAGAGGGCTGCCTAATTATTATACTATGTCCTTGCCAAAAGAAACAAATGGACACAGGTGCTTGTTTCTTACCACTTGTTCTAATTAAGAAAGATCCTCACTGCTAGTCAAGAGGGCTATGAACAAGTGGTGCTCTGTTTCACTTCCTGAACACGTCATCGGCTGAGAGAGTTGGGGCTGTTCAGCCTGGAGAAGAGGAGGCTCCGGGGTGACCTTATAGCGGTCTTCCAGTACCTCGAGGGGGCCTACAAGAAAGATGGGGAGAGGCTGTTCAGGAGGGCCAGTTGTGATAGGACAAGGGGTAATGGTTTTAAAATAGAGGGAGGTAGATTCAGGTTGGATATTAGGAAAAAGTTTTTTACCATGAGAGTGGTAGAACACTGGAACAGGTTGCCCAGAGAGGTGGTGGATGCTCCATCCCTGGAGACATTCAAGGCCAGGTTGGACGAGGCCCTGAGCAACCTGATCTAGTTGGAGATATCCCTGTTCCTTGCAGGGGGGTTGGACTAGATGACCTTTGAAGGTCCCTTCCAGCCCTAACCATTCTATGATTCTATGATCTTAATTGTCCTTTGGATCACATATTTTTCTCCTCTAAAGAAACCACCTTTTCCTCACTCTTCCCATTCATCTCCTATTAGCCTTTTCCTTTAGGGAAAACAAGCAATGTGCATTTTTCCTCCCCACCCTGCACTGGCCTCATTCTTTTCCCTGGTTAAAGACTTTGGCTTGCCGATACCAATCCATGTGCTCAAGGTAGATTTCACCCTGAGCGGACAACCCACACAAGGCTTTTAAATCACTTAAACTCCACTTAAACAGTATTAATTGTTAATGACCTTCACGCTTCCGTTAAAACACTGCTAACATTCTTTAATGTTAGTTCAATGCTAATGACTATGCTGCTCGAACAGCCCCGGAGTCTGACTCTTCCCTTCAAAAACTGGTTAGCTCATGACCAGCCGCAGTGTGAGCTTCCTTCCCTTTTATTATTTATTAATAAATATTATTATTAATTATTATTCCTGTTTAAAAACCTGAGCTCTGACTTGTAGCAGCTCTCTCCAAGCCTTCTCTTGGCTTCCATGGATCAGTAATACTCTACTGAGACCGTAGGGTCAAATGTCGTGATGGACTTTGTGCCCAGTAGAAACTGGGGTAAGATTCACCAATGTATTTCACACGGGTTCTCGGATAGCGATTGGATAGCAATGAATAAGTCTGCATTTTTTTAATTTAGAAAAGTGGAAAGATTGAGGTGTTCTTAGACCAAATTCTCATCTGGTCATAATCTATGTAATCCCACTGATTCACTGGCTTCCTGGTTTGTGTAAATCAGCGTATCTTTATTGATTTCATTGGCGATATGCTGATTTCTGCCAGTTGAGAACACAATCCTCCCGATGCAAGCATTCCCCAGTGGCAGAGCTGCAGCAGAATTTCCCATGTGAAACCAGTGTTTAAGCAGTCGAGGACTCAGTAGTGCTATTTTGAGTGATACAGCAGCCTGAAAATTCACTCAGACCCTGTGTTGAGAACGAAGTTCTGAAGGCATTTATCTCACTGTAAATAGTTTGGGTTTATATATGCAGTAAATAGCAGAACTGTTAATCCATCTAGAGATCATGGTGATGATATAAACCATGATAACAAGGCTTAGTGGTTTCCGTATTCACCAGAATCCTGGGAAGAAATTAGAGTCCTGTAATTCAAACTTGCCTCCCTCTTCATCTAGTGCGTGATCTGGTTGAGGCATCTCTGCCTTGCATGGCTGCTGTTACTTGCTCATGGCTTTGCTGGTTGCCTGTGTCTTGACTTTCCCACAGCCTTCTGTCCTCTCTCACCAACTTTCAGGGTGCTTTGCAGCACTACAGTGCCTTCCCAGTTTGTTTCAGGTATCTTTCCTGTCTCTTTTCTACCTTGTAATAAAGTTTTTCATGTCTTCTGTATGATAAAGAGCATCATGTTTCAGCCTGACTTTGAGCAGCCTTATGAATGATCTATTCTACTGGAACCCTATCTCTGGAACTAAACTGGTACTCATGATAAAAGATGTCCAGTGTTCATCTTGAGGTTGACAGAAGTCGCTTTTTACCCTTCCTGGGTTTGACCAAATATGTGCATTGGAAAATGGAATGTTTGCATCCGACATACACGTGTACACAAAAAAAAAATCCATCAAAAAGAAATCACCTCAGTCTCACTAAAAGGTGTATTCAGTGGACAGGGATTGAGGGGTTTTGGCTATTAGTGATGGCTAATAGGGAAGCTGAGGCTGATGAAGGAAGCCTGCACTAGCTCCTTAGAAGGGCATGATCACTGAGCATTCATTTACGAACGGAGATGGGATTGATCTCATTGTCATTAATAAAGGTGGTACACGGTGCCACTGTGACAAGAACATGCAGCGCAGCGTTGACAGGGACTCTGTTCTCATTTCTTGCTAGACCAGAAAACTAATGCAAGTTCTTGCTTTCATGTAGTGAAACTGGTGGAAGTCAGGGCTTGCAAGTCCTCATTGAGAAAATAAATCCTATGACTTATCAAAACCTACATGTTATTCCTATTTAATTTGGTCTTTATTGATTTTTCTACTGACTAAACCACAGCTAATCCACTAATCAAGTGAGAGTGCTCCCTGGAACATTGTACATTATGGGGCTCTACTCAAAAGCAGCAGAGCAAGATAAAGGGTTATTTTCAGACTCTAAACACAGCCATCTAAAAACGAAATTATGTTCAAATGGATTTACAGGTGCCTCCTGTGAAAATGAAAGGCAGACCCGAAGCTCCGTTTCAGGTGGTGGGGCTGCAGCAGGTCTGGCAAGAGGATGGCTTGGCCTTACACGCTTGTCTAACGCCAGCAGAGGAGTCTGCAGCCCAGAACAGCACCGAGATCCAGAAGATAAAAGTGAGTAGCAGCATTACACTTGCTAGTCGTGCACAGCTGCCATAGGCAGTCACCACTGGTTTTTATTAAGGACCAGGCTTGGATATGCCAATTCACCCTCAAATTTTGGTGAGCCAGGATAGAACAGCCCAGTGCTGCTCTATTAGAATGGAGGAACAGCCCAGTGCTGTGGGAACTGAAAGACTGCTTGCAGCTAATTGCCAGCTCAAGCTGTCCTCAGTTATGCTGCATTTAGATGATGTGCAGATGAGAAACCAGCTCTCTATGGTGTAGTCTTTTGTCTCTGCTGCTCATTAGTTGTTAATATATTTTTTTGGTGGCTGTAACCCCACAGTGCAGAAATTTGACTGGATTCAGAGGAGAAATATTTTTGGCATGTATTATGGGTTTTGCTCTTGTGTTTTAACCGTGTGAAGAGTGTGGCTCATGAGAGGGAATATTGTCTTGCTGTTTGGCTCCCAGGAGTCAGGGCCCGGGGGCAGACCTGAGGTCCCATTCGCTCACCTCTGGTAGACTACAGAGTCTGTGCTGTGCAATAAAAGGCAAAGCTGAAAGGTCTAGCACATGAGCTGAAAATCTGGCACGTGTAGGTGGCACAGTGTAACGCAGGGCATGATATGAGCTTGCGTCCTGAAAACAGCAGAGCTATGAAATAGCAGCTCTGGGTCCTAGTTTGTTGGTTCTGCCTTTTCACAAAGCTAATATGCTACAGATTGGTACTCTAAGCATCATGTTCTGTTTTTGGAGACAGCTTGTTAGGTATTACTGCTGATCTTGCCTGGTATAAATACCTGTCTTACCTACGCAGTATAGCTGGCTCGTGCTGGAAAATGTACCCAGGTATACCTGGGGAGCAGCGGTCCTCATGTACCTGAGATCTCCTGCGGGTCACTTGCCTCAACAACCATCCTGTTACTGAATAACCTTTGAGATGGTGGCCCCGCGCTCTGCTGAGGCTGGCGAGTTTCTCTCAGGTAGCTCAAAGCAATGCTTGTGGCTTTAGTGAGCTGCTAGTGGATTTTCTACTCTATTTTTGCCTGCCTCACCCTGGTAATGTGAACAGGAACGTGACAATAGATGTGCTCATTCTTGACATTTCCTCTGTGCTGAAATGACCCCCTAGGACCCAGTAGCAGGTGGTCTTAGGGGAGCCCCAGGTATCTGAGTCACACCTGCTGGACACATTGTGAAGGTTAAATGGAAGAGGAGGTGTAAACATGTTTTAAAAATGTGCTTAAGCTTCCCCTACTCAGCTGCAGCAAGCGTTCTTCACTTGCAGCTGCCTGCCTGGGAGCAGCAAAGGCTGAATTTCCCATGATGTATCATAAAGCTTGGAGTATGACAGCTGTGGCTCCAGTGCTCCTGCAAGTAAATGATTGATGCTGGCAACAAATGTCATGATTAAAACTCTACCAAAAAAAAAAAAAACCCACAACCCAAACCCATAAGCAAGCTTTCTGTTAGCATTTGAGCACCTGTCAGCAGCAGCAGTGGGGCTAATGAGACTCAGCAGCCTGCTAGACTGGACAAGGGCTTAATGCTGATTTCTGTCTAAGGCAACGGATTTCAAGATTTCTGTTCTATGGAGCGAAGAAAATGGAGGAACAGAGACTGACCTGCCTTCTGCCCACTTGCCTTGTTGCTGATTTCAGCTGAGGGGCTGGCCAAAGCATCAGAATTACTGAGCACTGAGTATGCTCAACATACGTATCCAGCGGTACGCAATTGGATGGAGTTTTGAAGCTGCAGGCTCAGGCTGCTCTGAACATGTTGTTGGAGCTGGGAAGGGTGGTATCACGAGTGGGGTGGGGAAAAAAAGCCATAGTTTCCAGTCCATGCATAGACTGTAAATACTCTTCTGATGCCTCATTTTACAGTCGCTGACACTGCTGTCGAGTTCAGCTAGTGTGCGCAGCAGCGAACGTAGAAGGCGTCTGGACAGTGTTCCTCAAACTGAGGGTTCCTCTTGTTAGAGGCTCTGCTGCATGTCTGGGGTAACAATGACTTTTGTCAATTTTGCTTTCTGGAGGCATTTGTGAAGCTGCTGCTTTCCCCAACAGAGATCCAAACCGATAGGAACAACTAAAGTCTTTCAGAAATGCCAGGTGCAGCGGAGACAAGGAAAATAGCAGCAACTGGTCTTTTCTCCCCATTCCTCCCCTCGAGCAGCCTCACCTATTGTTGGAGAGAGATGTGGTAGATTTTATTCTTCACACTTAAGTCGTTAGTCTCTTGCTGTAGCTACACCAAGAGCCTAAGGACCTGCCTGTATCAACAAGGCAAGGTTTCACTTTCCCCAGCTTGCCCCCCGTTAATTCCCAACCCTGGTGTGACTGGACACACCGAATGCTTTTGTCAGTCTCAGTCACAGCTCTAATGATGGGGTGCAGTTCATCACTGACAACTGGACCAAGACGTCCTGCTGGTTTCACGTTACTATAGGTGTTCCTGGGGTTTTTCGTTGCTTTAGTTTGTTGGTATCCCCCCCCACCCCAGTTATTATTAACTGGAGCTGAGCTGTATTCCAAACCTCTAAGCCATCAACTTTTTATTTACTGGCCACTTCACTGTCATCTATGTGCCTTTTGTTGTTTGTCACATTTTATTTCTTCATCCCAAGGTCCAATGGTTATGAATACAAATATAGTAGTGGTTTCTGAAGGCAAAAGCTCCTGTTCTTAGCAGATCAATAAGCCTTTTGGCTTATTCAACTAGGATGGCATCTATTCCTATATCAAGTGGTTCTATCGTATTTCCTCCCATTTTTGTCTGGTTTGGGGGGTTTAGTTTGTGGGTTTTTTGTTTCTGTCCTCCTGCAAACAGCTGATAGAAATGGGGCAAATTTGAAGATGGTGCACAGTTTTGGTTCCTGCTTTCTTGTCAGAACAAATGCTTATACACTCACCTCTTGTAATTCTTGCCTGCCGATAGACAAGCTGCAGTTACAAGCATGTCTGATGGGAATTAGATTTGTACAGAGCATGCTTTCTAGGAATCTGCTAAGCATTCTGAATTAGGCACACTAGCACTGTGCAGAGCAACGTGGTTCTTGCCTGCGCACTTCGATCACTTAACAGTTCTGTGCTGGCTCAGAAAGAGCTCGCGATCAGTTATTAGATTTGGGGCTTTTTTTCAGAGCTTTCCTGCTCGAGCTCTGATTTCTAGGTGCAATAATAGCTGGTGTAGAGAAGATGCTTTGCATAGTTGATTCTGTTGATTTCTAACTGGGCCTTATTGGGATCACCGTTCTCTGAATGTCCTGCTAATTAAGAACTAACCTTGAAGAACAAAGGGGCTTAGAGGGGAGGTTGAGTGATGGAAAACTGTAATTTAGCGGTGCAGTATTCAATATTAATATTAGTATGAATCTTAAAAAACTCATGAAATTAGTAAATCTTTCCGTTTATGTCCTTATGAAACCCTTTTCAAATTAATGTTTGCTTGTATTAGGCTGGTTTATGGTCTTGTTCATTGCATTTTCTCCCTCTTTAAGTGTGGTGTGTAACCTGCTTCAGAGTAATATTTGCAGGCTGATGGATGTCATGAGCCAGTTATTTTATACCAGTGTCTTGCAACCGACTGAAGATTGCTGTTAACTCGCCACTCATTGTCTGTGGTGGGGTTTTATAGCTGAGCAGTCTGTGTTGAGAGCTCTGGTGGAAGGGGACAATGCTGCTGATCTCCCCAGTGCGTTCACCAACGGGCACTTTGAGTCAAGTCTATGTGGACGCGTGGTCCCAGGTGATGGGGGAAGTCCTTCCACCCAGCTGATAGGCATAACTGGCTGTTGCAGACAGCATCTGCTCTCAAGTCCCATCTTCTGGGTCAGGAACCCAGACAATACCAGGACCTTCAATTGTGTCTTTGGAACCTGGGAGTAGAGACTTTGTGGGGTGACACCAGGATCGTGGGAGAAGTGGGTTCTGTGGGTGAGGGGAGAAGGTGAGAGCTCTGGTTGCAGGGATGCAGGGTGTGGTGGTTTGGGAGGCTGAGGGGTGTTACATTAGAGGTTTGGTTTGGAGAATCTGAAAGTGCAGATGTGTGAAGCATGAGGCTGGGGTGGCTGCACGCAGAGAAGGAGCTGCTACAGGTGCATGGTGCAGAACAGAAAGTTTCTGAGACCATCATCAATGCTTTTTGACCATTGATTTCTTGCAGACTAAAGAAGATCTACAAGGAACGTCCATTTTTTACCAGAAGATTTCTGCATTTCTAGCCTGTACGTGGCTTCCAGATGTTATCTGGTGGAGGGCAGAACTGGCCAATCACTTCCAAACCCAGCTGTGTCCACTTCTTCCTGAAATTCCCTCTGTCCTGCTCAGTTACGTCACTGCTGTTAATCCTGATCCTCAGGTACTGTACAGAAATACTTGAACTTCTGTTAGGTTTTTTTTTCTCAATAGGTCCAGTAAAAGTTGTTGTTCTTGCAATGTTAACAGATATTCTCATTTGCTTTAGCAAAGGATTTAAACAGAGTTGGAAAACAAATGCTTCTAAGCCGTGTAGATTTCCAGTGAAGTGTATGAGATTACAAGGACACAGTGCTACTTAATCAAGAGCTTAAAACCACTTGCCTGCCTAGAGATATCTACAAGAACATTCACCTCATGCTGTCTGTAAGGAGCACGATAATTAACTTTTTCACTTTTGTCAGGTTAGCAAGTGCTTCATAACAAATATTCAAGTGAATGAAATGTTACAAGAATTCATTGTACTTATCGTGGGAGTTTGTTCCTAAAGGGCATCCAACATTGCTTTTTTAACAGCCTATCCTACCTTAGCATAAATATTTAGACCAGGTTTTCAAAGAAGCACTGAATATGACCTGATTTCCATACCTTTTGAGGGAATGTTCTGCTTATTTTTTTTTCCTTGATTTCACTGGCTTTTGGACAATCATGGTCTTTTCCCAGTATTTCTAAATCAACAAAAACCTCGAGACGCAATTCCAGGGAACAGTGAAGACTGCATTTCTGGTTCACAACGAAGTTTAGTTCTGAAAATAACGTAACGTGCGAACTTTTCTGTACTTTCAACCAGATTTGGGGATTACTGTTAGTCTGTGAGAATCAGTGCTATGAAAGCTTAGGGGCTTAGCAGTGCACTCAGCAATTTGCCTAAAGGTTTATCCCACTTCTCTGGAGGAAAAGGAGGCTTAATGTTGTTGATTTGCAGTCAGTGTAGCTTTCAAGTAGAAGCAAGCGCTATAAAGCGGTCTGACGTACTTGTAAAAGATAAATCTGCTGTACACTTTTAAGGCATAAAATAAGGCACCATTCAAAACAGTCAGAGCTTTTATGCAAATCCCTTATTAGGGGAATTATAAATCATTAGAAATTGAACAGCGAGATAGCAGGCGCTTTCTGGGGGTGGATCTTTGCCTTGATGCCATAGAAAAACTGAAGTCAATTTAAAGGCCATGTTCTCTTCTTCAGTTCAAATGCTCTGTGCCACCCAGCTTCCCACTCCTGAATTACACTGGGACCACTGCATATCATGGCTTTTTGATAGACGTATCTTACAGTCAAACAGAAAGGCTGATTTCTCAAAGCAAGGCTCAATGAGCCAGACTCTCAGCAGGCAGCAGCTAACCCTGTTGTCTGCCCTGAAGCTTTACAAAGTGGTACCAACTGAGAATGTTCCCAAGTGTCATTAAAATACAACCCCCAAGTGCTGCATTGAAAATGCGATATCGTGTTCGTTTAACTTCACTAGTCTGAAGGTTTGGTACAAGGCCAGTGATCCACGCTTGCTTCTTATATATTTATTCTGAGGTGGTGTGTACAAAGCTAAGTAGACCAAAGAATCTGCTCTTACTGTTGGAAAAGCACGCAGTGAATGCCTCTTTTTGCCCCAGGTAGCTTACAGTTTGAGACCAAAATCCCAAAAGGTTGGTGAGACAACGGGGTAGGAGAGGGAACATCAGGTAAAATTGCCTCCTGCTTGTGCACTGACTAGCTCTGTGTGTGATTTTGGGAGCCGTCGTTAGCAATAATTGTAATAACCTTTGAGCACATTGGTAGTGCATGAGCCAATGTCCTGTTTTCAGTCGATTTTTCATTCTGTTCTGGACTCCAAACAGATTGCTTTTGTCTTGCTGTTTTTCTTTTAGGCTTTCTTATTAGCGCTGCGCGTGCAGCCTGCTAACCTGCACTAACTCACTTTTGGTACGAAGAGTAAACTCACAGTGCAGTCATTAAAAGCCCAGGTTTGGTTAGGAGTGACACAATCCCTGTGAAAGTTAACTGGCAGTGTCTCTTGCCCAAAAAAAGAGGATTGCTTCATTTTAATGTAAAATAAAAGTACTTTCTCCCGTTAACCCTTAGGATGCGAGCATTAACCTTAGGGATACAGACAACACACGTAGCCGGTGTTGGTGCTTCTTTTCCTCTGCCTGCCTGTTCCATTAAGGCACTGTGGATTTACCTTGTGCTCTCTCAGTTGTTCTGGACACTGGGACATTTGGCCAAAGGGTGCAACCTCTAACACTCACCATCTTTTTGGTCACCTTCAGAGCATCTCCTTGAATTCCCAACCTGCACAGGTGTCTGCCATCACAGAGGAGTCAGGCCATAGCAGTATTGGATGGGTGATTGTGTCAGAGAGGTTTCAAGGAAGGAGGGGAACCTCCATCTCTAAGTCAAGGTGAATGAGATTTTTTCTTTTAGTTCCAGAAAATTGATTTTTTTTTTTTTTGGCACCTCCTGGTGATTAGTCACCTACTTGTGGCACCTTTAGTTACTTCCCCTGCTGACTTCCAGCACAAGAGTTGTGTTTTCTTTTTTGAGACAAAATAGTACTGATTAAGGGCAGGTCTCCACAAAGTTCCCTCCTTGCTTTTCACTTAAGCAAAGCTCTATTATTTTTTATTAAATGCAGTTTTGACTAAGCATAGGTAAGAATTCCAGAACTGAGTCCAGGGAGTTAAATTTGCCCTGATGTTTTGACTCAGTGCTGCCAAACACTTCAAACAGCACAGACTGAACTAACAGGAAGCTTGGGAGAGGACTCGCAGAAAGTACAGCAGTTCTTTAAGGTGGTATTCCAGACTTTGGGAATTTGCCTGCTAGAGAGTTGATGGCAACTGTGTTAGCAGTGGAGCTCTGCATGTGCACACACAAGCTTTGAAAGTTGCTGGTGAATGATGAATTGCAGGAGAAAATGGACAAATTCATTGAGACATGTCAAAGCTCTTGGTTTGGTGTAGTTGCGTTGACTGAACCCAGGTGAAAAGTGAAATTCCCAGTTCTGCTTTTAGGCAAATATCTCTTGAAGCACAGGAGATAGAGGAAGGAGAGAACACACAAAGGTTGCTGAAGCAGAAAAACAGATGTCAGAGGGTTTTTAATGTTATTCCAATTAATTTCATTTTCTGCTTGTTGTTTTTAAACATTTGTAGAATGATATGAGTGTTTATTATTTGCCAAGCAACACAAAAAAAAATCTCTCCCATGATTATACAATTAAAAGCATTATGTGTACCTAATAATCTAGAATGGATGCTTCTTCATGCAATGTTAGTCCATTTTCTGTCCGTACTAAAAGTCCTGATGAGACTGTTTTGAAATGGTCTTTTTTTCTTTTTTGAAAATGTCTGTCCACATGAGACGAGCACAGATGAATGACTGCTGTAAATCAAAGCAGAGTCTTTAAAAACAGCAAAGCTACTCTGAAATACACCACCTGAGCCTATGTCTCAAAAGTAACCATTTTTTTACCTAATCCTGGAATGAATTCTACCCACTGTCTACCTAAATGCATCCATGTTTCTGGAATGTTCAATATTAGCAGAGCTGTGGACATCACTTCTTCCCAAACCAGAACTTGACAAACATGACTTTTGAAAGCTGCATTTGTTCTTGGACTCTGGCCTTGCTTACTGAGCATGCAGTCACAGCAAATCCTCGTGAGTGACACATCCTTAAACTTGCACTTGTACAAGTTGCTTGCTTGGCTGCTCAGAAAATGTATGAGAAACAAAATTAGGTGCTGAGATTGGGAAACGCTACATTTCTGTAAAGCCATGACCTAAATGCCGGAGTCTTTTTGCCTATCCATGAGTACGTGGCACAATAAGACTTACAGATATGTGTCACTCGTGGTGACATGAGCACAGGAGAAATGTCCTATTTTGGTTACAGGCATGTAGAAGTTCATGCAGTTCTTTCCCTCCCCTTTGGTTTGATTAGTTAATTAGAGCATTCCTTTGACAAAGCCCTTTTCAGCTGGATGCTCAGCACGGTGGTGGAGAATCAAGGTCTCGAGCTGCTCAGCCTGATCCTGCAGCACCTTTTGCGTGCAACTCCTGTTCATGTCAGCGGGTACTCTGCCTGTTGGAGGGTCACTGGGTTGGACCTGGGAATGTTCAGTCTCTCAGGAAGCAGTTGCAGATTCATATTCTTGGGATATCACTTCATTGGAGCTCATGGTACAGCTATAAGAAAGCAAATGATAGACTGGACTAAGGAGTTTAATCCATTAACGTGCAGCCTTACGTGCTCTCTAGCCCTAAAATACTACTTTTTTCCTAGCCCTTTATTTTGAGGGATCAAGATAACACCCAGGTGAGAGTTGTCCTTTGTGCATTTCAGGCAGTGGAGAAGGTGTTTGTGGTGCCAAATGGATTTTACTGGCAGACAGTCGAAACTGATGAAAAATACTTCCCTAATAGCAGCAGCATCGAGGCTTGCAGAGATACAGACACTGAGGTAAAACCAAAACCCAACAACAAACCACTCCTTTCTGGCTTGTGGGATGATGTGGGAAGTTGAGAGACGATTAAGTGACCTGGAATATTTCCATCTTGAGCCTTGGTACAAATACTCATCTTGAAGTATTTCTCACTGAGACCTAAATCTATCAGCTGAGTATTTTGTGTCATCGGTATTGATGTGCCGATTGCTCTGAGCCACAGAAGATTAAACTATGAAATGTGCAGGTCGAAGAAATTGCTACCAACCAGGTGCAAATCAGGAACAGTAGACAAAATTTTGATAACCTGAAACCATTTGACTACAAGCCAATTTACCATACAATTTTTAAAAAAAAAAACTTGTGCTTAGAAACATTCAAAAAAATTTCCGAAGCTTCTGGTACTGTCTAGCTGACCTACAGTAACTGTGCATGTGTTGTAGGAACGAGTAGCAAGTAATTCCACTTAGTGTACTCCAGAAGAAGAGAAGGTTAAGGTAACTTGAATTAGCTCATATTTACCTCTGTCCAGGAGTGCTTACCAAAACGCACCGGACCTCCACCCATCTACGATAACTTGTTAACTATGGTAACTCACCTTTCTTAGCTCTTGCGCAGCACAAAGCGTAGCGTGTTTGATCTGACAGAGTTCAGTTTCCTGTGACCATTGATTCAGGGAGGTGCAGATGTGTTAAGTTCTTCCTGAGCGTGCAGCAAACCTGACCAGTTGCTGAGAGCTTACCATGCTCCTGGAAGACACTTGAAGTCCACAATTAGGAGCTGAAGGTACCTGGCACATGGCATGGTTGGGAAATGCCTCATGTCTTCGTTGAAGTGCCTCAGGAGTGCTGTTAGTGGGTCCGTGTGGACCTCTCACAGCAAGGGCAGGGTGCTCTAAGGGAAGGCAAGGCAGGAGCTGACGCTGACAGCAAGGCAGGCAGGGCCAGTGGCCTCACTGGCAGGGTGCCGTCCCACGTCACCCAAGCAAGAAGAGCAGAGCGGGTCCAGCAGCAGTAACCAGGGTCAGCCCCGAGTCCGTAGTGACCAGGCCAAGCCAGAGAGTCAGCAGATTAGGATAACAGCCAGGGTCAGCGACACATGAGACTGGGCCAAGGCACACCTGCCATGAAGCTGGGACGGAGACCAAAGCCACGCACCTGGCTCCTGAGCGAAGGGGAGACGGGCAGTTTCGGAGGTTCTCAGAGCTGGACAGCTGCATTAGCAAAGCTGGCCCCGAGCCCGGGCAGCCAAGCCCCAGGGATGCTCACAGCAGCTACAAAAAATACATCCTTACTGGCTGCTGTGAAAACTGGGTTAATACCAGGAGATTGAGCTAGATAAACATAAAGAAATAGAGCTTTTATTCCTAATTAGACCCCTTTTTGATGATTTGAGTAGATGTATATCTTCATTTATCATGATGGTATAAGCCTCATGATGTGTTTATGGGGGAGTAGCATTTCATTTGAAGTGTCCAACAGTGATGGATTCATTTGGCGCTCACTGCAGCCATAAAGTTTGTTGCTGGGGAGAGCGTTGTGTTGCTTTACATCCAGGAGAACCGTGCACAAATCTGAGGCCAGCACAATCATGCTTGTCTGAACTGTAGCTAGGCAATTTATTACCCACAGCAGCACACAACTTCCTGTCATAAAGCCCTCCCTTTTCAAAAGAATGTGTTTCTTCTGATGGGGAAGTAGTAATAATTAGTAATAATTTGCTTCCCTTTTGGGTAGAGACATTCAGTATGTGTTGGTGTATGTCTTTCTACATGCCAGGATGGGCTGAATTGGATTAGTCTGGTAAAGAAGATTTCAAAATGTGTATTTATTTTTTTTAATATTGATTTTGACAATTTTGTAGGTATAAAGAAACAACCAGTTGGTCTGTTATTATTTAACCATCTCTCTGTGGTACGTGAAGTTAAACAGCAGGAGTAGTACACTGCAGTCTCTGCCCTGCAGAACTTGCAGGTTTTTACTAGTGGGTTTATGTGACGAAAGGCACAATTATATCAGCAGAAATAAATTCAGTCGTAATTACCACAGGTAGTTATGATTCAATCTGAAGCTGAGTGCGTACTGTGCTGAGCTGCACGTAAATATAAATTAAAGAAAGCCTCTTTGTAGCTCTTACAATGTAGCTAGAGCATGGGAATGAAAGGTGAGCAGAAGAGATACAGCTGTGTGGTCACTGAGGGCTTGGAAGCGTTTGGCTTATTTCCTCAACGTGCTCTTGCTGTTCAGGTTGCCATGGTATTGCTGTTTGAAACTCTCTTCCGAAGTCCCCTGGCTACCCATCACGTGTTGCAGCTGGTACTCAGTTCTGGTCTGGATATCTGTGGACTTCGCCTGCTCTATCCTCAGCACAACGTGCTGCTCTCTAGCTCAGGTGAGGTCTAGTTTTCCTGCAGAGATTCCATCATGTGATGATACTGAGGTGAAGGCAAAGAGCTGGGAATGCGCTAAGGTGAAGAGCACTGTGGGCATCGGGGAGAGGGGATCAGATTTACATGAGTGTTGCTTTATCGGTTCTGATGTCATTCCTAGAATAAATAATAAAATATCTTGGGCTGTTTCTTTCCTTCTGTTCCCAGTGTTGAATATCCACGAGTTGAATTTTTAACCCTTGATACTTTGTTGTGTCTTAAACCAGTTTAGTTGTTGTTCTTTGCAGCAATCTTCCCCTGATTGCAGCACTCTAAGCTCCAGGGTTAGACTCGTAGGAGGTAAATATACTAAATGAGTTCCCACTGATTTTCCTGAAGGTTTTGGCTGCAGAAAATCCAGCCTTCCTCAATTCCTCCCATCCCATTGCCCATGGAACTTCAGAAGCCATGGGCAAGAGTGCTGATCTAGCCATCCTGTAATTATGTTGGCTGATAAGCCATCACCAAAATGTCACGTTTGCCAATAGAAGATGGTCTGAGATGGGAGACCAAGAAGATTAGGTAAAAAAAAATAAATGATGTGGGTCTCTGAACTCAAATTCCTAAGTCTTTAATGTTAGACACCAGTGTTTTCAAGTATTGGCACGTACCACTCAGGTCTTTATTTTTTCCATTTGTGAAATAACAACGCCTGGCTTAAAGCATGCATGTGTCCTGGTTTCGACTGGGGCAGAGTTAGTTTTTCTTTTTAGCAGCTGGAAGAGCTCTGTGTTTTGGATTTAGTCTGGGATTTGCTATGAGCAGAATGTTGATAGCGCACCGATGTCTATAGTTGGTGCTGAGATATCAAGGACACTTCAGCTTCCCAATGTCTTGCCAGTGTGCAGGAGCACAACAGGCCTGGGGGGAGACCATGGCTGGGACAAAGGGCCCACAACTCCTCTTAAGATTTGAACTTAGACCTAAAATTGAGGGCTGAATTGACCGATAGAGTATTCCATATCATGCAACATCATGCTTGTTATTAGTTGCTCATTAGTTGCTAATGCAATATAACTCTAGAGCGACAGGCGTTACGTTAGCTGCGAAGTATAGAGCTCTTGCCTCTGCAGTGTAGTACTTAGACTTTCTTTTAAGCCAAATTCTCCTGGAAGGTTTGTATGTGACACCATCACGAATACAGGCAATCCGTTTCTCTTGGGGAAAGGTATAGGCAGGCTGAGCGTGAGAGAAATGGGCTTCCTTTTCCTCAGGCGGAAGATGAGTGAAGACCAGATTAATCGGAGAAAAATTCTCCCTGCCCCCTTTTTACGTTTGAAAACAATAGGAGCAGACTGCCTTAGAAATGGGATTGCGGTTGCAGTTGTCTCAGCGCTGTGCACGTAATAAATTCACACTGATAGCTGGAGAAATGAAGAAGGACTTCAGAAATGAATAAGAAAACCATAAAATCACCAGTCGTTAGGAGATGACAGGCAGCAGATCTGCCTCAATGCTCTGTACCATGCACCATTATTTAGGAACGTTTCCTATAAAGAAACAGTTTGTTTGAGCTGACGACTGCTATGCGAGTTTGTAAATTAGATTTTTACCCTTAGCTTGAAAACTTTAAAATTATTATTTTAAATATTTACAGCCAGTTTCTCCTGTATCTACCTGCTCTGGAGACTTATGTTCTGGCTTCTGATTCTTACGCAACAAATGATGTAATTGAATGTGGTTTTAAACCTCAGGGAAGAAAATGACACACCTTGCTGCTTTTTCTAACGTCTGCAGTTAAAACTGCAGAGGAGCCAAATTTGCTCTCTTTCTGGGGTTACTTACTGGACCCCAACTATGCTACCAGTAGACATGGAGAAAATTTTTCCAGAGATATAGCAAAGAGTTGTTGCAGGAAATAAGGAAGCCACAGTTCAAGTCCTGACAAGGAAATAAAGGTGGCTAATCGAATATTTGCCTGGATATGTCATCTTACAACATAGTACAAAATCTGTATTTGATGCAGAAAGAAATAATCTAGAAAAGCAGTCCACACATTTCCAGTTTGTGATCCCCATCCCAGTTTTCCCATATCTGTTGAAAATTACATCGCTCTCCTCGGGCCCATGTTCCTGTCTCCCCTTCAATCCCGCAGCCTCCCCCTGGGCATGAGCAACGTGCTGAGGTTGAAGTGCTGACTCGTCGTGTATCAGCAGCTGCGTGGTAACTAACCCTGTGCACGCTCCTTTCCACAGCAACCACCAGCCAACAAACTCCTCTCTCTTTAACAGACAACCTTGACTAATCTCAGATTTACCGTTGGGTGGAAACATGCTGCTGGTTGCCAGCACGTCACCCTCAGGACAGGTGACCAGTAGGTTGCTTTGTTGAAGTCTGGCTATGACAGATCTGAAAAGGGGCACTTGAGTGGCATGAGTGACCTTGGGGCAGGTGGTTCCATGTTTTAGTCACACATATGTTTGTCTTTTGCAGAAAAGCTGCCTTCTTCCTACACTTCAGAGGCTGGCACGGTGCCACCAGTGCTGGCGTTAAGCGTGAGAGGGCCTAAAGCGCGTAGCACCTTGCAGAATGTCATTGGACCCTCTGAGCCGCAGCTGGCCGGCGTGACGGACCGCGATTCCATCGATGCCATCCACCGCAGGAGCCAAGCGGAGCCTCTCGTCTACCTGCCGCACCCGGACAGCCGCGTGCACAGGGAGCTGTGCCTCTGGTTCGGAGGGAGGGCTGCTGGTGTCCTGGATCTGCCTTCCCCAGGCAACAGAGCGAGGTGATGGCCCTGGGTGGTTTTGAACTGTGGTTGTTCTCACAGATGAAGTATGAGATGAAGGCCAGGCAGGCCCCCAGCTCACGTGCTTTGTCTTTAGTTATCAGTCTTCTGCTGAAGTTCTCAGTGAACGAGAGCGCAGGGTGGGAGCCATCTGTCTACTTTTGTATTTCCAAACCAGTTACTAGAGTCTACAGAAGTCCATCTCTCCCAGGACTGTCTCCTCTGCAGCACATAATAGATGTGTCCAGGTGTCAGATATGGGACTCTTGCAGTTGCTTCCCACCACTTGTTCCGTGGTAGCTAGGCCTGTAATCCCTACACTTGCAGCACCTGCTCGTGGGCCCTGTGCGCCCGAAACATCTGATCAGATGGATTTGAGACCTCTCCCAGCTGCGCCTGGTGCTGGAGAAGGGCTGCAAGTGTGTGCCACTGAGTGGCCTTTGCTGGAAAGCCCAATCTGGCTTTGCCCTGTGTATCTTCCATATCAACTGATTAGAGATAAGGGGCTTTGGATGGAAAAGGTTCTTTGGAGGATTATGACAGCAGTGTGTGAAAACGAAGGATGGCTTATAAACTTTTAACTCTAGCAAACAGCATGAGAAATGAAATTTAGGAACTAATGGCATAGCAATAGGGTGCCAAAAAGTGCTGAGAACAAGTGACATTCAGGAGCCTGGAATCTCGCTGTCAGACAGGTTTGGATATGGCTGCAGAAGGAACTGGGCTTTTAAGCACCTATTAATCCATCACGCGATCTAGACCGTCTGTGCTCTGCTGTGTAGTGCTACAGGGAGGGGACTACAGCTCCCAAAGACTCACTTCGACCGTCTTGGACAGAAATGGATTTACCTAATGTTTTTTAATCTGGAAGTTGCTTGGTTTCCGACAGTGATGTTAGGCTACCAGGCTGCCTGCTGTTGGCCTTACTCAGCAGAGCAGAGATGTGTGAGGGAAAGGGGTGGGTGGCAGGGAGCAAAGCTTCAGCGGCTCTGGGGAGGTTGGCACTGAGCAGCCCTTGTGCCCCGTCTGCGCCTGCAGAGAGGAGGCTGGATCAGTAGCCTGGACTCTCTTGTGCTCCTTCCCAGCGCTCTGTTTCCAAACCTCTCTGCAGCTTTTCCTTAATGAAGATGAGTACTTCCTACAGCACAAAACAGTCGCTTCCCTTCCTGACAATCTTGCAATTTCCTGGACAGAGACTCAAACCTAAGGACACAGGAAGCTCGTTTAGTCCTGTGTAAGTGAAGGGCTCTGCTGCACTCCAAGGTCCCTTTCCTCTGGAGGATCAGAGTCGGCTGGTCTGCAGAGGGAAGCGAAGAGGCACTTGTCTTTTTTCGACTGCTGAAAGACGCCCCTGTGGTTGTTCCAAGCATAGGTAGATCTGTGGCTTGAAGCATTTGTTTTGCAGTGCTTTATCAAAAGATTTGGCTTAGGGCTTCAAGGATTTTCCACCAAGCAGGAGAATATCCAACTACATATCTCCTCTCCGTGGCTGTCATGCTTGTCACACAGGCCTGTGTAATCACACAGGACGCCAGCCTCTACACTGGGGTTTTCAGGCCCTGGGTGTCTCCTTTTAATATTGCTGAACTAAATAAATGATGCTGTGGTGAAAGCTCAGACAAAGCCCTACACCTGCGAGTTCTGGGCAGGTTTGTAAAGCTCCCTTCTGATGCTGGGTGCAGCGTGGCACACGGTGTCGGTGGCAGCAGGCTGGAGCTGAGGCAATCTGCAGTCCTGTCGGTGCTTTCTGCAGAGCCACAAAGTGCAGCCATGTAGAGTTAATCCGATGCTTGTGGAGGGACTGTGTGTCACAGTTCAGTCTGCTTCACCATGAACAGTGACTCTTATCGTTTTTATTTTTAAGATTTGAAAAAAAATGAATTTGGCAAAGTTTCGTTCTCTTTATTTGTTTATTTTCCTCAGGGATGCTTTTTTCCTCGTACAAAGATGATGAATTATGCTCATCTGGTATAACTTAGCCAGTCCAGAGCACCACTACATTCTAAATAATACACTTGTCTGTCTCCTAATGCTGGTAATTTGGTCCATTGGGAGAGGAGAATACAGAGTGCAACTCAGATTGCAGTTTTTGGATTATACTTGCAAATGCCGTGGTCTCCTGGGAGTGAAGGAGCAGGATGTGTTCCGGCTGCCTCGGCGGTGGCAGGGGACAGGGCAGGTGGGTTTGCCCGAGCAGCCTGCACTTCCCAGGCCTACCCAAACTGCTGCACAGGCTGCTGTTGGCGTTGCTGTTGGTCCCTGGCTTTCAGAACCACACCTTATGTT